CAGGGAGAGAGCAGGTCGTGGCACATGAGGAATGTGAAACTGTTGTTTATGCTTATTCTAATGAAAGAACTAACAGAGGACAGTTCCTTTACAAAAAGCAAATTAAATACTTTTTAACAAGATCTAGGAGAATTTACGAAGCTTGTTGTAAAAGCAAATATCGTAAATACATTTTTATGCCAAACTTCCTGGGGCCTGAGAGTCAGATGGTGAGAAATAACCCTATGAAATGGTAGCTTCAAGAAATAGTGTGCACAGGTAATACTGCACTCATATTTTGGTGTCATCCACTGCTGCTCTGCCAAATTTGATTCCAACTCAAATTATTCAGGAAGACACAATATTAAGCTGGTTCCTCAGACTGGAGAGATGGAAGATAGCTCTGGACAGAACTTCAAGAGTGAGAAATTAATTTGATAATCTGGGGACAACACATAATTAGGAGTCCATTGGACATGGAGGGCGTTTCTTAGCACAGGTGGGTCTCTGACCAGGTATTGGCACCTGCCCTGTCTTTCCTGTGAAAGTTTAGATGTTTCCAAACTATGCCTAAAAAGTTGAGGGGAGGAGACAAGCTTTGAACTTTCCTTTTTTGGTAGTTCCTTGATCGTTCATCAGCCTTGTTTTTCCTGTCATCTTTGTCTGCCCCTCCCTGCAAGCAAAGACGCCTTGTTGTTAGTAGAGATTTTTTTGATGTAGCCAGGATTAGAACGGACTATTTCGCAGCCCATTCTTTATTCTCAGTTCAGAACTTACAGACTGCTCTCTGCAATGTTGTAGTGAGATCTGGGAAAATAATATCAAGCTGTATCTAAACAAGTGGATTAAGGGAAGCCCTTGGAATAGGACAGAGTTGGGGTAACTTGCTGGATCTCATGTCTGATTGCTGGCTACTTCCCTAGGGACAGCTTTTCCTCCTGGCAGAGTTTAGGAGCTAGCTTTCAGTTTCTTTCATGATCAGCATTTTGTACTGAATGTTTTAAAATGTTTGGGAAATGCAGCATAAGGCACATTGAGGGTGTTACCTTTAATTGGACTAACTTTACAAATTAATATTGAAAAGTTTTCTCCTTGTTGTGTTGCTGTTGACCTGATGTTAAGAATAGCCTGTGCTGGTCTGCAGGAGAAGAGTAGAGGAATATATTTTGCTTTTGGTTTTTCCGTGCTTTGAATTTTGGTGGGACAGGAGAGGTTGCTATTATGTTTAGGAAAAAAAGTCTGAACATGAATAGGAAATATTTTCAAAGGTCTTTTTAGGGAGTTGGGCTGCCTGTGATGATCTGTTCATGGATGCAGCTGGGAAAGGCTCCAGCCAGTGTGAAGGTGTTGGCAATATCTGTTTGTCAGTTTCAGAACCAGCAAGGTCTTAAAGGTAGATGGACTTTTTTTTTTTTTTTTTTTTAGACCTGGTGAGATTCCTTTGGCAATCACTGCTCAGAAATTAATGGCATTATGGAATGGAATTGCAATTGCCTGCTTTGACCTCAAAATATTACTGTGTCATCCTTGCCTGTTTCTCTTCCTTTCTTCCTGGAAAATAAACATTAGATAAGCGTCAGGTAGATTCTTTTCTAGCTTATTCATTAGCAGCAGCAGTAGTGTTGTTAATTATGTTTAGATTGTAGATGCTGTACTATGAGTGGCCAGAGAACACAGAATTAGTTTCAGATTTTTATAGCTAGAAGGTGGGAAAATCCTTGTCTGGGTTGCAGACTAAGCAGATTTCCTCTGGATATCACTGAGGCAATAAACAATAAGCTGCAACTCTTTTATCATAGCTTTGCTCTCCGTGCACAGATTTTACTGTGAGAAATAGCACAGCCCACTTCCTGGAGTGTCTGGTTCTCTTTATTTACATGTGTCATCTTCTCAGCTTCAGCTGGTAGAGTTTTTTTCTTTATCCTTTTTTTTAAATTTTTACAAGAACAGTCAGAATGTTCTTGAGGAGCCTATGACTGTTTTTTTGGGTCCTCCTATATGAGTTAGGAGCCTGCCAAAGCCTACAGCCATCCTCCCTGAGCAGCAAGCAGGACGGGATCTGGTTATTTGACATAATAAAGAACTACAACCTTTCTGTTTATTTTTAGTTTTTAAATTTATTTTAATTTTCAAAATGCTTTGGTTTTAATCAGTTTATAAACAATTTGTCTGTCTGTGACTAAAAATATCTGAATAATTTTTTACTAAAGCCCCACCCTGAGCACAAGTAAGGGAGTGTGGTGCTGCAAATACGTCTATCTTACAAAACCTTTCTCTCACCCGCTCTTGCCATCCCGATGTGGTGTATTTCTGACAAGCTGAACTGAAGGTATCCAATGCACCTGACAGTGTTTTCTGACTTTCTCAGCCTTCTGGAAGAGACTTCTTCCGAATATGCATTACATTAGCTTTATGCTCTTTTGTCCCTTTAAAAGTGCATGGGGGATTTTGCTGGTTACTGGGATGTGTTCAGCATTACAAAAGTGTTTCAAATAACCAAATTTTACTCCCAGTGTCCTCAGGTCTTCCTCATGATTTCTTCTTCTGAAGTGGGTTTGCACATGTTCCTATGGGCTTTTTGCATCAACACTTGGTAAGCACTGTGTGTTGATAAGACATGATAGCACATTCCTGAGAAATCCCTGGAAGCACAGGGCACACATTTCACTGTGTGGAGACAGACAAAGCATGTTTAAGTAGATCTGAAGCAGGGCAGACCCTTCTCAGCCCCGAGTTCCTCGGAATTTAGTGGAAACTTCAATGTTGGATGAGGAATTTGAGGTGGAACATGAAACAGCCCCTTTCATCCTCAGCTGAAGTGCTGGTACTCATTTTGTCCTTGGTAATTAAAGGGTATTTCTTGTTTTTCCTCACTCTTTCAAGTCTGTATCAGTAAGATCTTTGGAGTAATTGCTCAGAACAATAACATGGAAGTAGAACATCACTAATCTCCTTGGCTGGGAAAATTGTGAAAGGGAATGAAAAAAGGGAGAATTTCCCTGTCAGAGCTGCAGTTCAGAGCTCAGTGGGGTCTGAGAACGGAAAGAGCAGCTCTGTGTAGGCTTTGAAGAGGTAAATCCTTGAATTCACAGTGAGTAAGTTGCACATAACAGGAAATATCAGACTGTTAACAATTCTGATCAATTTCAAGGAACTAAGCAACTAGTGTCAGAGAAATGGGTGCAAGAAATGTTTAAAAAGAAAACTAATACAAGTAGAGAGAAAAACAGACAAGGATTTAAATATATCATAAGCACAACACAACTAATTCATCTGATAAAGGAAGATACAAGACAGAAGAAGTGATTGATGTAGCTCAAAGATTTGATGGTACAAAGCCACCTTTACTTGAAATGATTAAAGGAAATAGGGCAAAAATCAGAATATTGAGGATTATTTACGATATAAAGAGAGGAAGAGTAATCAAAAAGGTTGACTAAATTCTAAAACGAAATAAGAAATGGCTTATGGTGTATGTGGGGTGGAGGGAATAAAGAAATCATCACAGAGAGTCACTCAGGAATCTAAAATGGATGAGCCCTAAACTGATTTCATAAATGGGCCTTGACAAAGGGGAGAACACAGCAGCACAAGGCTATTTGTGAGCAATGGAAACATTTCACAATGTGGGATGTTAATAGAACACTTGGAAAGGAGGACTATAAATAGAAGACCACTTCCATGTATGTGTCCTTTATGTAAAAGAAATTAATTAGTTTTTTTTTTTTTTGCAAAATATTGAGAATTAATTTGGAAGATAATAAACTGCTGAGCGAGGGATTGCAGAATCCATGTGAGGAACACCTTTTCCTTTTTATCCTTTCAAAAAAGATATTCAAGTCAGTATTGCACAGTACATGGTAAAATATTGTCCAAATTTTTCTGGCTCATGATCTGTGAAGCATAATCACTAAAATGCTCCTATGCTTGAAAGCATGTCTATCATGAGGCACCTCCTGCTTCAAGACAGCTGCCTGGATGCTTTTTCTGGTCTTCTTAGTAAGTGTGGATGACTCTGGGTATCTAAAGAAGTAAAATAACTTTTTGTTTAAGGGGTGTTATTCCTGTAAGTTTGAATCAACCAGACTGGATTTATTCTGCTGGTGAATCTTTGACAGAGCTAATGTCTACTTAGCCACAGGAATGTGAATGCCCTGGGAAGCATCAGGGTACCAGCATTGCATAGAGAATATGAGGTTTGCTGTTACAGGGAGAGGTATTTTTAAACATCTAATACATAGTAGGTGCCTAAAATAAATAGCAGATTTTTATCAGTAACTTCTGATCAAGGATTATATTGTATTTGAGAAGAGTGACAGTGGCAGTGTTGCAGAATTCCATCAAATTGGATTTGATTTCTCAATAATTTTTGTATTAATTTCTGCATGCAAGAGGGAAAAAGTGAATTCAGAAGGAACTGACTGCTGTGAAAATATGCAAGGCTGACACTACAAGCCTAAGACTTTCCCCATAGAGGACCCGGACCAAAAAAAAAAAAAGAAGGAAAAAGAAAAAAAGGTTGAATTACTGCCAAGCACAGGCAGTTAGAAAAATGATGGAACAGTTGCTGGGAAATTAGTAAATATGGATCCCAGGCAGCACCATTTCTAAAATAACTTTTCTTTGTAAAACTGTGTTCAAGGGCTGGGAGTCACGATTTATGAAGAAATATTAAAAGAATTAGATGTGTTTAACTTGGCAAAATAAATGAAGAGTGTTGTTCTTGTCCACAAGCATGTGACAAGCATAAACAGAAATCATGGAGAAGAATTGCCTTGGACAGGGCCTAAGGAATGCAAATTAAATGTATTGTGATCATAATGCAAGAAGGAAAATGTATCTCAGATATCAGGTAATATCCTCCATTAGCAAGATTTATGAGACCCATCATGATGGGAATATGAAGGAAATGATGAAAAGTCCATTGACTGAGTCAACTGAAATTGGATTAGAAGGTGTAGAACACTTCAGCCCTGAAACAGGAATTGTCACATGCCCAGCAAATATCACAGACTCATGAGACCATGGCATAACACAGATGTATTTCAAAGTTCTCTCTCGATGTCAGAGCTGCAGGTTCTGTCCTTGTGTGTGAATGCAGGTGAGCAATCACTGAGCCAAGTGTGCCTTGGTTGTGCCTTGGCTCCTCTCAGCTGAAGTTCCATGTGAATCTTGTGGCAAAGAGTCTTCATAGTAACATGCTCCTTCACCCCATGAGTGTCTCTAGAACCAGAGGGAACAGAACATTTTGATCTTACTCTACTGTCTGTCTCCCAGGTACCTGCCCAAAGGGCTCCCAAACTCCAGGGCTCACTTAAACTCAGGAGTTTCTGGTTGCCTGACACTGTGCCAGAGAACTCTGGCTCTTATCTGGTGATAAGGCTAAGTGTTAGGCTTGGAAGGGGTCCCACTCGTTTTCACCTTCAGCAGCTTGCTCTCAGGAGTCGGTCGCTGCCAGAGCTGCGGCAGACGGCTGGTTTGGCATCCAGCACCAAGTGTGCCTCTGGCACTGCTCCATGTCTTATATCATGCTCAGCACTAAAGAAGTTCAGAGCTTATTGAGCCTCTCTCCACAATTGGCTTTACCACAGGTCTTGGGGTCAGCACTCCTGTTGTGACAGCATGTTTTGTTTAGATTCTTACCTCAGATCATGGCTGCACTGTTCAGCTCCTGGAAACCTTCTGCATGGTAATGGCTGGTCAGCTTTTGCCCAGTTTTAAATCCTTACGAATTCCAAAGTTGGCGGCTCCCTTGTGTCATGTCACCAAGGCTCAGCCTTCAGTAATTTGCCACTTTCCCATCAGGGAATCTAAGGCATCTGCACAGAATTGTTTAGAAGAATTTAGAAGGTTGGTCATCTTTGAAAGGTGCCTTGTGGATCTAGATCAGTGGTTTCCATAGATGTAGAAGACTATCTATTAGGCCACATGAAGAAAAAAAATTTTTTTTTCAGTAATAATTTTAAAAATTTAAAACATTTATTTCATTCATTTCATTCATTTTGTTTATTTCATCCTTCATGAGGTGCACAATCAAAAATGTTTGGAGCCCACTGATCTACATGTTTAGAGAAGGATGAGAATGATGGCTGTGGCACAAAGATCTTCCACAAAGAGAATCCTAAAGACTGATGATAACCTGTGAAGAGGGAATATGACACAAAGTAATGAAAAGTAATGAAAAAACCCTGGGCAATGCTGCTGGGACAGTCTGTGCTTCCTTGTGTTGTCGAGTAGGTGCTTGAACTCTTTCTCATATACACTGGGGTGAATTTTAGCCTTATGTAAATCCACAACTGCTGTGTATTCAAATAACCTCATCTACCCTGCCTTCTCTGCCTGGTTGCTGTGTCTCTTTGTTGGGTCCAGCCTGGTTCTCTGTATGCATCTGCTCTCATGGAACATCCAGGCCTAGTTTGGGCAGTCAGGCACCCACAGGTCCTGGAACATTCCCCAGAAAAGGCAGCTGGCTCCACACTTGGGCTGGAGTCCCATTTTCAGCTGTAGCCGGTAGCTGCAGCCACAGTCTGATCATTCAGAACATTAATTTATAGTCTTTATTATGACTTCATATATGTGGCCCAGGGCTCCAGGAGACTCATTCATAGTGCCACAGCCATGGCTCTGCCCAGGGGACGCCTTTGCAGGACGTGGAAGTGCTGACTATGGAAAAATTGTGTCAGTTTTTACACTACTAGGCTTCTGATTGGCACCTGCCATCTGATCTTTCTCCGAGGTAGAAAACACAGTCAGGTCTCAGCAGTTTCTGTCACACAGTGCAGGCAGCATACCTGTTTGCCAAAGATACGTGCTGCCAAACTTTGAGCTGTCATTCCAAATTAAGGTGTTAGAGCTTTCCATGCCTATGATAAGTCATTAAATATTGCTCAATTACCCTTGCATTGAGCCTTTTTTTAAACTCAAGCTTACTTTACTGAAAGGCATCCTGTCTTGATTTGGAGATATTAAAAGATGAAAAATCCTCCTTCCTTTGATAGGGCAGGGTTTTTAATGTCTAATCATTCTCACTATAAAACTGTGCCTGATTTCCAATTTAAGCTGGTCTGGCTGCAGCTTCCAGCAATTGGTTCTTGTTATGCCTTTCTTGGCTGGATTAAAGAGCCCTCTAGGACCTGGTATTTTCTCCCTTTGAAGGTACTTATACATCGTAATCAAACCATCTCTTGATCTTTTTAATAAACTAAACAGATCGAGCTCCTTAAGTGTCTCATTCTCAGGCAGCCATTCCAGTTCTCAAATAATTTTTATGACTCTGCACTGTCTCAAATTTTCCTGTGTCCTTTTAAAAACACAGCTATCAGGAACAAAGGCACTCAGGGTATTTATAGTCAACTGCTTGTTCCTTTTCCCAAAATCTTTTAGATTCTCTTCATTTCCATGCTTTGGGTTCCCCTGTCTGTAGAAGACTTTCTTGCTCCTAGAAACTATGACTGCTGATGTCACTTGCTCCCAGACATGTAATCTAGCACCAAAAAATGTGTGGACCTTTGCTCTGATCAGTGTAACTGTTCTTAAGCTTTTTTTTTGCCCATTTGTAGGAGCTATTTTAAATCATTAATGCTCGGGAACTAGGACCTTTGTGTATTTTACCTTTGTTGTATTTTGTGTATTCTGAAAGGACAAGAACTTGAGCTGTTTGGGGCTGTCCAAAATCACCATTGATTGTAACTGAGCCTGTTTGTTCTTCTAGAGGAAACCAAGGCTCCTACCACCCTCCAAAAGTGATCTCAGTAACCAAAATTGTGTTTCACTTCTGGTAATGGTCAAAAGAGATAACACAGGGGGATTGGCCAGGGAGGACAGAGTTCAGGAACCACTTAGACTTCTCTAATGAGCCCAGGAAGCTGCCCTGGTTTGTACAGGGAATTATGCTGTCCGCGAGGATTTTCTAAACCTGTCTAGTGCTGCTTCTGAGACTCAGCAGTTGCTTTGTTGGTTTTGTTTTTCCTGCAATGTATCTGTGTTTATTAAGGGGATAGTGGATGATCACTCCCCACCCTAATAAAAAGGAAATTGTCCAGGTATTACCTTGGTGAACTTATTTCTGTTAAAATCCCTTATCCCCTTTTGGTGCCCTTTCCAATTCTTTTCCTGTTATTAGTTATAGTTATCTTCTGCTGACTATGAGCAAACTGGAGGCCAGATCTGGGGTATCTTGTGTTAATATTAGGCATTTTTTCTGTTGCACCAACCAGCCTCCGAGATATTTATCCTTGCAATTAACTGCCAGGTAGGCAACAGCTATTACCTGGTTTTAAGATAGGGAGGAGAAGCCAAGGCATGGAAAGCTTCAGTAGGTCAGGGCTTGAACTAAGATCTTCTAAATGTGAGGTAATTGTGCCTCCTCTCTGTTCCATCTTTAAAAAATGAAGCACACATGTTAGTTCTGAGGCTCACTTTCATCTTCACCATTCTGCCTTCAGAAATCTTCACTCCTCCTCGCCGCACTGCGGTCGCCCTCGAAGAGTTGCACAAAGGCTGTCAGTCGCTTTGGTTCACTGACGTCAAATCTTGAGGAAAAATAGGAACAATTACAAGTTTAATATTAAAAGAAGCAATTTTATTTCTTTTCTGGAGTCTATCTGAAGAAGCAGAATGCTACCTGAAGAAGCAGAATACCTTGTGCCTGGTGAATGGGGCTCATTTACCTCAACTCGGACCTCAGTCCCAGCGTGCAGGAGATGGGCAAGGGGATAACCTGGGACTGGCCTGGGCTGCGGCTCGGTTATGCACGGTGTTATTTTTAATTCCCAGCTGGGCCCGACTGCCAAAACTGGGCCGTTGTTTTTTGATTAGATTGTCGGGCAAGAAGATCCACTAAAGACCGCTGGACTGTGCAGGGCGTCTGCTGCCCGGGCCAGTACCCGTGTAGGTACCCCCGCAGCGGAGGTGCCCCCCACAGGTGTCCCCTCGCGGCTGTCCCCACACAGCGAGGGTCCCCTCAGCCGTGTCCCTCCAGCGCTGTCCCCTCAGCGCTGTCCCCCCAGGCTGTCCCCCCAGCGCTGTCCCCTCAGCGCTGTCCCCCCAGGCTGTCCCCCCAGCGCTGTCCCCTCAGCGCTGTCCCCCTCAGCGCTGTCCCCTCAGCGCTGTCCCCCTCAGCGCTGTCCCCCCAGGCTGTCCCCCCAGCGCTGTCCCCTCAGCGCTGTCCCCTCAGCGCTGTCCCCCTCAGCGCTGTCCCCCTCAGCGCTGTCCCCTCAGCGCTGTCCCCGCCGCCCCTCAGCCGTGTCCCCCCAGCGCTGTCCCCCCAGCGCTGTCCCCCTCAGCGCTGTCCCCCTCAGCGCTGTCCCCGCCGCCCCTCAGCCGTGTCCCCTCGGCGCTGTCCCCCCGGCGCTGTCCCCTCGGCGCTGTCCCCTCGGCGCTGTCCCCCCAGCGCTGTCCCCCCAGCGCTGTCCCCTCAGCGCTGTCCCCCCAGCGCTGTCCCCCCAGCGCTGTACCCCAGCGCTGTCCCCGCCGTCCCTCAGCCGCCCCGCCCGGCTCCGGGCCCGCCCTGCGGCGCGCGGCGGCGGCGGGCCGGCAGCGCCCCCTGGCGCGGCGCGGCGGCTCCGCCCGGGACCCCGCACCGGGACCGGCGGGACGCGCCCGGGCGGGCGGGGGGGGTCTGACCTGTGTGTGTGCGTGTGTGTGTGCGCGTGTGTGTGTCTGTGTGTGTGCGTGACTGTATGTGTGTGCGTGTGTGACCGTATGTGTGTGTCTGCGCGTGTGCGCGTGCGTGTGTGCGTGACCGTATGTGTGTGCGTGTGTGTGTGTCTGTGTGTGTGCATGACCGTATATGTGTGCGTGTGTGATCGTGTGTGCGTGTCAGTGTGTGAGCGTATGTGTGTGTGTGTGTCTGTGTGCGTGCGTGTGTCTGTGTGTGTCCCAGCTCCGGGCCGTGTGTGTGCCCATGTGTGTGTCCCGGCAGGGCCCTGTGTAGCCGCAGCGCGCAGCCACAGCGCTCGTGCGGCGGGGCCGGGCAGGAGCCCGTGCCCGTGCCGGTGCCCGTGCCAGGTGCCCGTGCCCGTGCCCGTGCCGGTGCCCGTGCCAGGTGCCCGTGCCCGTGCCAGTGTCCGTGCCAGGTGCCCGTGCCAGTGCCGGTGCCCGTGCCGGTGCCCGTGCCAGGTGCCAGTGCCCGTGCCGGTGCCCGTGCCAGTGTCCGTGCCAGTGTCCGTGCCGGTGCCCGTGCCGGTGCCCGTGCCAGTGTCCGTGCCCGTGCCGGTGCCCGTGCCAGGTGCCCGTGCCGGTGCCCGTGCCCGTGCCGGTGCCCGTGCTAGTGCCCGTGCCCGTGCCCGTGCCCGTGCCGGTGCCCGTGCCAGGTGCCCGTGCCCGCGCCGGTGCCCGTGCCGGTGCCCGTGCCCGTGCCCGTGCCGGTGCCCGTGCCCGTGCCCGTGCCCGTGCCCGTGCCGGTGCCGGTGCCCGTGCCAGGTGCCCGTGCCGGTGCCCGTGCCGGTGCCCGTGCCGGTGCCCGTGCCCGTGCCCGTGCCGGTGCCCGTGCCAGGGCCGCCGCTCTGGGCTGTGGCGGTGGCAGCGGGCAGCGGAGGTGCCGCTGCGCTTCGGGCGTGCCGGCAGCGCTGGCAGGGCTGTCTGTCCCGCAGGGACCGGGGCCAGGAGGAGCTGTGACCCACAGAACTGGCGCCTCCAAGCCCTGGTCGGGATCCGTGGGCTGGGCAGCAGCACCCCGGGGCAGCCCCACAACAGACGGGGCTCCAGAAGGTGTGAAGGGTAGTTGCGTGATGTGAGCCCTCCGTGCTCATCCCTCACCTTCCAGGGCTCCCAGCTGGGTTCTGGCCCTGGCCCCGGCCTGGCCTGGAGGGAAAAGTCCCTTCCTGCTGCCACAGTGGGCGAGCAGGCTGCTGACTGCTGCAGGGGAGAAAAGGCTGAAGCTGCCAGAAAAAAACTGTAAGGTATAAAAGCTTACAAATTGGGGAGAGCATTCTCCTTTGACAGAGTAAAAATAAAACCCGGAATGGAAAAGGAAAGGCGTGAAAGAGTTAGTGACAAAATATCATGTACAGCTGGGGAGATGATGGTTTTATTGGTATTGCAGGGGGGGAGGGAGAAGCTGAGAGGCAGTGAAAACACAATTTGGCCTAAAATTGAATTTCTCTGATAAGGAATTTCAGAAGCGGCTGCCTCATTCACTGTGCGGCCAAATAATCATATGCGCTTTAATAATCTTTATTTTACAGGAGTATGTTGCCAGGGCAACAGAGTGTAAGCAGGAGCACAGCACCTTGCAGATCACAAAGGCAAAGCTGCAGAAAGACATTTCAGCGAGTTTCTCTCTCCCCTTTGCAATGTAATGACGACTTATTTTTCATGCACTGATTTAATAATCTTATTGAAAGATCCTTTCCCGGTTTCTCTTATTCTTGTCTGTCTGAGCACGGACAAAGGCAAAAATCTGGAATTGTCAAGCCCACTGGGCTCAGCAAACTAACAGATGTAATATGTTTAGCATTTTTATGTAATTACTTTTTATTGCTATTTTACCCTGCTTCTATTCCTCCCCAGTTAGATGCTGCTTCCCTTCCATTCCAACCCAATCAGGGGATGGAGAGGGGCTGGGGGAGAGTTGGTAATTGACGGCATTAATCGGGAATTATTAGTGGGACGTGTTTTCAGAGGTGGGGGTTGGGTACAGCAAGAGACCTTTTAGGAAGGGTGAATTGAATTATGGGCGATGCAATAATGAAGCCTGTGGGCTGTGAGCTGTAGAGGACACTCATCCTCAGAGAGCTGAGTGTTATTTATCACGGGCTCTGCTCTCTGGGTGAAAACCAGCACGTTGCCCTACTGACATCCTCTGGATGAGGGGGTCTCAGCTAGCTGGGCTGAAAAACAAGCTGATTTGGGATGATTAAAAATGAAAATGTCTAGAGATCTTTGATGTTGGTTAGACTGGGAGCAGAAATGCTGCAACCAAAACGTCAGCAAGGCGCAATGTGCCCAGGATGTCTCTTGTAAACATTTTGCTTCTTTCCCAAGGGCCAGGCTGAAGAAGGAAGTATGTGGAAATCAATCCTTGCAGGCCACAGAATGGGAGGTGGGGGAAGTGAAATGAAGTACAAAAGCCCTGGGTCATCTCACTTCGGCTGAGGAATTCCAGGAAATCAGGAACAAAGGCTGACACCCGAGCTCAGCTGTGCTCTGGCACTGCATGTGACAAGTCTCGCTGGCACCTGGAAACAGCAGAATGTGTGGGTTTGGTGGGCTGAGAGACTCAGGAAAAGGACACGGTGATGGGGGTTTGCAGCCTCAGCTGAGAATGTCACAGTTTTGTAGTGTGGATACAGGCTCACAGATGTTACTGACATGGAACTTTGCTTTAGGAGATTTATGTGTTCTGCATTTTGAGAAAGAATTACACGAAGTAATAGTTAACAATATATGTAAAATAATACATTTAATGAATATAAAAATAGTATTTAGCCAAGCAGTATTCTCCATACAGGATTACATTGTGGCAAACACTACTGGTTTTCTCTGAGTCAGCATCCCCCAGTCACTGTGAATGTGAGATATTCCTTGCACCAGGGTTTTAGAGAGCAGTAAAAACTGCCCTGAAGCACATTGCAGAAATGTCTAGAAGCCACCTCCAGGAGTGGGAGGTGGCTCTGCAGAGAGCAGACGGGGACAGTTGCGTGCAAGAGAGGGGAAAGGTTTGTTTGGAGGCTTGGGCAGGAGGCCCATAACTCACGGCGTCCCTGTGTCACCAGCTCCGGAATGTTCCCAGGCATGTGGAAGCATTAACAGTAACGCAGTGCTTGGAGTCTCACTGCCACTAATGACTAATCACGGCACAGACCAAAACTGCAGTTCTGAAGCCCAGTTAAAATTCTGTTGTTTTCTCAAAAACCAGATGAGCATTTGGACCTGAGACATCCAAATTCAGGGCGTGAACTGTTCCTGGCTGCAGGAACAAGAGTGTATGCTTCTGTGCACAGAGAGGTGAGCAATTAATGCTGTATTGATGTGTTCAGTTTATTAATATTTGTTTATAAACCAAGTCTAAGGACACTGTACCCTCACTAGCAACTTCAGCTTGGTTTTTATAATACTTGCACTGCTAATCCTAAACAGTAGAGGATCAGATAATCCTATGGTATAAAAATTACTCAAGATAAGTTTCTGCAATAGAATAATGTACATTTAATACATACAATATAGAAAGCAATAAAATGCCTTTTATATAATGTTATTTATGCAAGTATATAGAATTACTCATCTGAATGTGTATGTAGATTGAGGAGTTTAGGAACAAAGACAATTCTTTAATGTTGTCATAAAAAGGAAAAATAAAACCTCTTTTTTCTGAGTAAACATATCCCAGGTTTCACCTTCCTGCTATTAAATTAATTAATCGCAATGATGTAACAACTACATAAGGTTTTATCTGATTAGAAAATTCAGCAGTGCCTGATGCTGAATTGTCCTATTGTTCCTAATCTGGAGATATGCAGGATTTTCTACAGCCATTGTAATACTTGTCCCCTTTTTTTTTTTTCTCATGGACAGGTCTGATTACTATTACCTAGGCTATATTTCCTTTAGGAGGAAAAAGGCTTTTCATAAAGCATAAAAAGCTTAATTGTGTACAAAACTATTTTTACTGGCTATAAAAGCATATGAGCATCCTTCAAGTTGTGCTCCTAAAGCTTTTTTGTGGCATGTGGGGTCAGGAGAGGGAATGAACAGAAAAGTTTGAATGCAAGATTCCAATGCAGTTTGTCTTTTTTTCCCACAAACTTGGAATCTTCATGTTAGAATTTGAAATTTTTTAAATATAAAAATAATATTTCTTTGAGTTCTCATATACAACAAATATTTGGAAATTGATTTATTCAGAAAAGGCTCTTTTATTTCTCTGGGTGTATCTAGAGAACCTATGGAGTAAATCAGTTCTCTGCTGCTACCTTTATGTTGACAGAAAAGCCAGGAATGAGTGAGCAGCCTGTTGCTTTGACAGTGTTAGAGGAAAGATCTCCCCTTTCCTGTGTCCTCAGAGAGCTGGTAACAAGGTCACACTGATCTGAGGAAAGCCAAGTAACTTCTGGAAATCCCAAATCGGGTCAACAATACAAGATCTGTCCACCATTCAGATTTAAATGAAGTCACATTCCACACCACTTTCACTGATGTTTAAGACTTTTTTTATTATTATTTGGTATTGGCTGGTTTCTGTGAAATCCATCAGCTCTGCTCCTATAGGCTCTAGCCAAGGAAATCTAGACAGTTTTTGTCATCTCTGCAGCATTCATTTCATAAAAATGCTGCACATTGATTCAGTTAAAATATGTAGGTAGAAGATCTCCTAAAAGCAATTTTCCATGGAGCCTGCAGGAAGGCAGCTGACTGCAACCAGACTGGGCCACACAAAAAGAAAGGTAGAACAAGGTGAGTTGCAGACTGCCAGATACTGGACAATATTTCTGTATTTTTGGGAGACTACATTTTTAGCTCCTTATAGCCAGTGCTGGATGAGAGACTGTTTGCTGGAGGTCCCGCTACAATTTTTAGATCTCTTTTTTCTATTTTAATAATAATAACCTCTAAAATATAGAAAATTAAAAGGATTTTTATTGGTTCTTTGTAAGACTCGATGGGGAAGCCCAAAGTTGAAACAAGGTGAAAGAACCTGTACTTGCTGCAGGTGGAAGCAGGTTTATTGCCATCATTATATTGAAAAGGTTTGTCTTTGTACAGATTTTCCTATTTTCCTTAGGAAAGATGGGATAAAATTTTGGTGAGAAATTGAATCCCAGCAGCTTAAATACCCACGTATTTCTAGCACAAAATCTGGGCAATTTGCTTTCCTTTTCCTGCTGGCTTGTATCCTGCTGCCTTTTGAAATGGAAACTCTTGTGACCCTCTAACCCTCTTGTTACTCAGAATAAAACTCTTTTAATTGTGTTTTGGAGGAGCATGCAAGGAGCTCCCACACCACTAATCAGCTTTGCTGGTTTGGGTCTGTATCTCCAGGACTCATGTCAGCAGAATAGCTTGATATTATTGCTGCTCGGCATCACTGATTTAATGCTGAAGAACTTTAAAGGTGCAGGTCCCCATTTCTGTCTGTGTGTTCCTACAGAGTGAGAGCAGCTCTCTGGCAGTACCTGGGATCCTGCAGGACTTGGGCAGGCCCTGCTGCTCTTTGGGGTGCCTAAAAGGTGTCAGAAAAGGTGACTGCCTGCTGGGCAGGGCTGCTTGTGGGCACAGCATTAACACTGAGACAGTTTTGGAAGGGACCTTACCTGTTTGTTTGCAATGTCTCATGTGGAAATGCAGGTCAGCTTTAGTGCCTCTTCACACAATTAAAAACAGAAAACCCCAAGACTCTTCTAGCTAGAGTCTGTGCTTTGTACTGGCCAGAAGCAGGTCTGGATGGATTTAAATCAGACCTGTCTTAAGCTATTTGAAATCACCTGCAGCTTTGGTTTGAAGGATGAAACTGCTGCCTTCCAGTGCTAGAACTTCAGCCCTGGATGGTACCTCCATCCAGGTGGAAGTTTGTCAGTATAAAATCCTGCCCTGCTGTAGCTCCCCCTTGGGCAGACTCTCACCCATTTTAGGGCTGTTCCTTACATCACTTGCCTTCTCACCATACTCAGAAAACATAAAGACTGCTTTAGCTTTTCACATTTCAGTATAACTGTGTTTAGCACCGAGGTTTGCCCCAGCCGCTGCCCATTTGCTGACGTTTGTTCATAGCTCTGCTAACGTGCCTCTGTTTGGCCTTCAGCATTCCAGGAGTAGGAAGGCCACTTAACCCGAGTCCTAGCTCTCTGATCCTGTTTGATCAGGAACAGTGATGCAGGAGTTACCCTTGAACAAATGACTCTGCTGAGAACACTCCCAATTGCCCTGTAATAAACCTGCTGTCCTCCCTGAAAGCCAGGATGAGGATAGAGAGGGTAACAGTGATTGAAAGGTCAACAAGTGTGAGCACTGACAGAATGAAAGAAACAAATTATAATGCTGAGGCCATGATGCTGAGAGCGCCCTGTGTCTAAATTCTGGCGTGGTTGGAGGCTGGGTGTGTCAGCACGAGTGCCACCCTGTCCTGGTCCCACAGGAGAGAATGCAGGATCTCAGGATCTCTCCCTTTGTCCTCTCTGTGGCTGCGTGCTCACAGGCTTAACTTCAGTGCTGGAGAAGATCACTCATGGAAAGAGATCAGAAGTCACCAAGTGCCACAGTGCTAGGCTCCCTGTGTGAGAAGGAGCTCTGTGCTGAGTCTTCCAGCCTCCAGCCTCCCCGTCTGGGCCAAACACACCTGGGCAGATCCTGTCAGTCCTGGTGGGAAGTGTTCACCTGGCTATGCTGGGCTTGAGTCAGAATTTGTCTCTTAATAAGACGCAAGGAGAAACTTTTCAGTGTGTTCTCATTAAGGTAGGAAAATGGAAACATATTACAACTGATATGTTCTGTCATCTTGTCCATTTGTTCCAAAAGGGACAGTCCTGGTGAGGTGGCTCTGGGCCTCGCCCCACTGACACAAAGCTGGGAGAAGCTAGCCAAGAAGCCAGTTCTACAAGTCCTGTTTGATTTGTTTTAATGAAAACTTTTATTTGCTGGGGTAAAAATAAGTTTTAAGGAGCTTTTTTCATCCTACAATTCTGCTGACCCTATGCTCTTTTGTGTGTTTGTCTTTTGGATTTGAAACCATTCAAATTATGATACTTTGAGTTCTGGGTTGTTTGGTTTTTTTTCTGTTGTAAACCAGTAAAGCCATGTGTTCATACGACAGTCACATGTTTCCCGCAGTTTTAATACCTGGAGTCTGAACAAAAACTGCTGGTACTGAGCTGTTGGTTCAGTGTCCCAGGGAAACAGTCTACATGAGCTTTGAAGGATTTAATTAATGCCATTACCTTTGAGTGTTTTTTATTAATATAGTCTTTTACTCAGACAGATCACTTAAAAGCTTGATCTGTTTTATTACCACAAAGCATGCACAAGATAATGTTGTACACATCATCACCTCTAAATATGTTTGCACAAATGAGTTTCAGACAACCTGCTGTACAGACTGCAGTTTGGGAAGTTTCATGCAGGAAGGAATTCCTGCAGAGAAAAGGTCGCAGTGATCAGAGGTCCCTCCCAGCAGGAGCTGGGGAAACCTGTGCAAGGCCAGGTCAGGTAGAGCTTAGAGCTGGTGCACCAGCAGCCCCTTTCAGCTAGAAGGGAGCACATCCACATTTCTGTTTTCACAGGCAGAGATTGATTTTCTCCTGGAGATGAATATCCAGATCTGGGTGATTATAAGAGAGAAATGAGATCCCATGTTCTTGCCACAAATATGATAAGCCAGAGTGTGATTTCCTGACCATGATTGAAACCCTCTTTGGGTGGCATTGCTCTTAAGAAGTCTTTTCTGATTCATTTTCATTCCAGGGTGTCCTGCAGACCTTGTTGATGCCTGCTTAAACATGGCATCCACAGGTAACTCACTGTTCTTTCTCAGACATTCACCCCCCACTAGTAGATCTCTTTGGGGCAGGATAGAAGCAACTATGTTCTGAAGTCACAGAATCACAGACTGGGTTAAGTTGGAAGGGGCATTTAAAGAGGACTAGTTCTAGTTCTCTCTGCCCTGGGCAGGGACACCTTCCACTACCCCAGCGTGCTCCAAGCCCCAGTGTCCAACCTGGCCTTGGACACTACCAGGATGGGGCAGCCACAGCTGCTCTGGGCACCCTGTGCCAGGGCCTGACCACATTCATCACCACCACACTTGGTCTGCTCAAGAACTGCAGAATTACTCTGGTAATACTGGATGCTTTTCTGTCAGACACAACTGAAGGAGAAAGAGTAGCTGTCAGGGAATCGTGACTACATGGTGTGAAAACCCTTCAGGTCAGTTGGAAAGTGATGCATCACACACTTTCCACTCTGATGCATGAGTAAGGAAGAATGCAAAGATTGGTGGCAAAGTGTGGTTAGGTGGATCAATAAACCACAGGATGTTTTGGATTCTGGAGCTGTAAGGAACAGTGGGAGGCATTGGAAAATGTGTATTCACCAGCACCTAGGGACTGCTCCCATGACCGAATGCAGGTATGAAACTAAGGAGTAGGAAATGGTAGCAGGAAGACTCAAACTGAATTGGCAATGCCACAGAAAAAGTAGGGAAAAACAGGAAATGGGGCCACAGCACATCCTTAAACTTGCTGTGCAGCAAATGTTTGTCTGTGGAGTATTTGTCCTTTACTGTGTGGGATGCCCTAGAGTATGACATTCTTTCCTGCTGCTGTGCTC